CCCGCATGGTGTGGTGGTGAACTGATATTTTAATTCGAATGACAAATTACACTTCCATGTGATCTCTGTGCGGTTAGTATCTACATGAACTACTTAGTGGAAGACACATAGCAGGCGCAAAGTGTGCAAAGAGGCTATTTTGTTTTCAACCCGATTGAAATCTTGATTTATATTTTCAGTTCTTTGGTTATAGAGGTGCTTGACCAGATAGACCGCAGCCAACTTGGCATTTGCAGGTCATAAAAAGGCGAAATCCGCCGAAGCGTTGATAATAAGTAATACATAAGAGCACCTGTCCCCCAATCAAAAAAATAAAGGGTTATTCATCAGCGCCGAGGTTAAAAGAAAATTGGTTCTGTGTTTTGTACAAAAATGCAAAATATTTCTTTTTACGAGGCTTTCCTTTCATTTTGACATCAAATTCTGGGAAAAAACCATTATGCGATCCTTACCAATTTGACAGTGGTATTTTTCACTTGTCGAAAAGGAGCTATTATTTCCCTTGTTGCTTGAAGTTTCTCACTTAGAGACAGATTTCAGGAAAGGCGTTGATGACCGCATTCTGTGCCATGCTGATGGTCATTTCGGTTTATGCCTGTGTAAGGCGGGAAATGACTTATGCAACAAACGCTACAGTAACGATACAGAATTGCAATGGATGAATTCAAACGACATCATTATGAATTCAATCTCTCACGTGAGTGATTGTTTCCTTCGTTTTTCGCCTCTGGGCCGTGTTCGGTTCGAGTCGCTTCAGCTGTTTACGCGTTTCATTGTGAGCCTAGACTGTCGTCGAACATATTATAAATGAGGATACCTTCTTTTCTTAAACCCACTTCCTCAGACGTTACCCCTCTCTTGGATTCTCGCATTTTTGCATACATTGTCGACAAGGATCCTCTACTCATTAAAATATGATTTGGTGATGTTAACTTTTTATTTGGTGTCTGTTTACGACAGAGCATTATATGAAACAGAACCATGATGATGCTGAGATATTTGCAAAACTTCAGACCGGAGGTGTCTGCAGTGGGGAACGAATGTGCCATTACCCTTTCTTGGGATAACACTAACTCCACCACACTATGCGGGTCGTTTCGGCTGTCTCTCAGCTAGTTCTATTGACCACTGCTATCACCAAGCATCCGTCAACGGAATCTGGAGAGTACAAGTCGGTGTTCAACCTAATCAAGCTGATGCTGAAGTCGGAATCACAATGTTAACTTTTTATTTGATACCTCTTACAATTTTTTACAGCAAGGTGTTATGTGGAATACAACCATGAAGATGCAGAAATATTTGCAAAACTCCTCCCCGTAGATGTCTGCGGTGAAGAACGAACGCACTATTACCTTTCCCAGGAGCTCACACGTTCACCACCACACCATGAGGATGATTTCAACTACAGCCCCAGCTTAACTGTACTCAATGCTGATTTGTTCTCCCCAGATCAATTTCATTGACGTGTGACTGCTGATAGCGCTGGTAGGTAGGAAACTTTTTGAGAGACGGTCGAAACAAAGGACCCGCATATCGTGGTGGTTAACGCGTTATCCCCCGCATAGGGTAATAGCACGTTCGTTCCTCAACACAAGCACCTGCGGTCCGTAGTTTTGCAAACATCTCAGCATCATTACGATTTGGTGATATTCATTAAAATGCATTTTGTCCACAATGGTTTTCTAACTTCTAAATTTTCAGAAAGTGACCGGTTTCACTGCAGATTACGCTCGTAATCGTGTCCTTCAGATGCGAGTACATGGTTATCCGGAAACATTTCCTGGAGCGCCGTTGAACTCTGCACGATACATTCTCAGTCCTATGGTTTTTCTGATTTCTTCAACCTTTATAGAGTTGCATCGAACATAGAAACCTCGTATTGGACTTTCTATGTAATATTTTGTTACAAAATTTACAGAAAACGCTATACCATGCATAACAGTCTTTCTGACCGCTGTTCGTTGTGTAATTACGATGCTAACCACTCTCCATGGTTAATGAACTTAAAAAAACAGCAAATCCCCTTTACATCGTGTTTCTAATCCGGAAAAAAGAGCCAATTCACTATTACTACAGACAACATGATTTATCGATTTCCGATAATGTCGATAACTTCCTCTAGTGTTCGGGTTTTCATCTACCATACCACCTTCAACGACTATTTTAAAAGAAATCTTTTTATAAATAGATCTTGACCGGAAAATATTTGTCAGAATTTTGGTTTTGTCAGTAACAATATAATAAAGTTTCCTATCTTGATCGTATTCTAGTTTCTGCTTATAAAGCCAAGTTTGAAAAAAATGTGTCGTCGAATAAGTGAGGCGATTGAGGTCCATACACTCCTCCCCCTTCCTGGTTTCCTTTGCAATGTACAGTGGCGCCATACGATTGATAAGTTAAATACGTTCTGAAATACCTGTGTCAGTAAAGCATGGATTTTATGAGGCTTGATGAAATCTAAGGCATTGAGCATGCTTATTGATTAAGGGGGCGCATGTCGCGCAATGGTTGGAAGCGCCCTGCAATACACGTGGTATCGATTCCTTCGTCCCAGGTTCACCAAGCCTTCCGCATCTGGAGGGTCGGCAAATAGGAATTAGACCTGTTCGGGAGGACAGCAGCTCTGCCTGAATACATGGGTAAACCACCACGAGTCATTCTGTAGACCAGATATGTATTCAATCACCTCAAACGATGGTTAGTGAGATCAGATGCATGGCGCAACCATCAGCGATAGATCAACGCCAACAGCTTCATCCTCTTTCGTTTTTTATGTGTTCTCTAAGTTTCCAGCACAAAAATTCCGAATGTGATTCAGTCATCATTCGAAAGTAATGGTGATGTTGTATGCATCGACTTTTTGCCATATTATGTAAAATTCACTGGTTTCTACACATTTCTGAGAAACCTCGCGGTCGTTTGAACGAAGACGATACCTATAAGGTATGAGAAATATCAGAACTATAAGGTTTTATACGCTGTCAAATCGATGACACGTTACTTCAGTCCACAAAAAGATACGGTACAGACATTTAGCATTCTACCCAGTTTTTATATGATAAAGAAATCAATCAGTGATAGCAGCATCGGTTCGATACATCGGTAGGTCACCTCGAGTTATTATAAAGGCCAGATATACATTCAGTCACCTCCAACGATACTTAATGAAGTCGAAAGCATGACGCATCCCTCAGAGAATGATCAACGGCGAGACCTTTATCCCTTTTATCCTTTAAGGAACTGAATAGAAAAAAACATAAGGATGTGTTGGATGGGAATTTTTTATTTTTCATTATATTCTACACGACACTATTACACATTGTGCTAATCCGAGTACTTCTCGCAGTTCCTTCTCTCCCTCTCATCACCTTTTTTCCCACTTTTCTGTTCCATGCAACATGACCGGGATATCCCAGGCGTATCCATGAGATAGGAACTTGCCTCACAATGTAAGGGATCTGATGGTAGAGCTAACATTGTGCTTCCTAAAAAATTGTCTACGAACATTACATGGTGGCCAAGAATGAATGAATAAACTTCTGCAAATTTTGAAAAAGATTGAAGACATGGTGACTGCAAGTGTTAAAATAAAAAGATCTCGACGTTGATCAATCCCTGAGGGATGCACCATGGATTCGACTTCGTTAAGTATCGTTGGAAGTGATTGAATGCATATCTGGCCTTTACAATGACTCGCAGTGGCCTACCAATGTATCGACCCAGTGCTGCTATGCTCCCAGACAAGTCTGGTACCAATTTGCTGACGCCGGAGGGATGGAAGGCTTCGTGGACCACGGGCGCGGGGATCGATTTCACGTGTGCGCCACGGTGGCGCCTCCAACCACTGCGCCACACGCGCCCTCTGCAAGTGTTAGAAGTGAAAAAGTAGTTCTTTTAAAAGAACAATGCCGTTTTTGAGATCGGATACACATATTGCAACCCGTAGAAATGATGAAGTTGTACCCCATCACTTTCTCCTTTGCTACTTCTTTTCCAAACACCCACTGATTGCTGTGATTTTTCAGAGACTGTACCAACGTTTTTTCAGCGACTGTACCGCGAACTTTTTTTCAAATTATAATTAAATTATAAGGTGATTTCGACTACAGCTTCCGTTTGACTGGGCTCACTGCAGGTTTGGACTCCCCAGATCAATCTCATTGACGGGTGATATCTGGTGATCGATAGAAATAGCTGAGAGATGGACGAAACGAAGGACCCGAATGGTGTGGTGGTGAACGCGTTAGCCCCTGGAAAGGGTAATAGCGCGTTCGTTCCCCAGCATAGACACATGCGGTTCAGAATCTTGCAATTATCTCAGCATCATTAAAGTATAAGGCTTAAGACTTCTGGATCAACAATCATGTTAACTACAGTTAACCAGTTATTGTTACTAATAGAAAGAAAATAAAAAACAAACCCAACCATTCGTAGGTGCCAGAAAGACTGCAGAAATGGATTACAAACTAAGCTTGTCCAACTTTGCCACCCTTTCAAAATTCAGCTCAAAAAGCCACTCGAACTCTGTAAATGGATTTAAAAGGCACTGGTACCGAGCGGCTAATAGAATAGCTGAAATGGAAGTATGACTGCTCTTGTTTGACTCTCTTGCCGTCTTCCACTGCAGAGTAATAAAGGAGAGCGGAAGTAGAATTCAGATATAGTAACACAGCAGAATGTGATATAGATGCAGATGCCTTTATTATCTAAAAGAAAAGTGTTATTCCTCATTATAGATTTTTATAGCAAAGGCTCGAAAATATCAGTATGGTCCGGTTCGACCGATCATGAGTTCACTGGCTCGACTACTTCTCTATCATATAATTTATCTATGACTTCAGAGTCAGACATCAGACCTGTTTACGAGTAAAACAACACAGAGTCGTTCGCCTTCTGTCCATCACCGCGTATCGTTGTGGACAAACCCGTCCACATTACGACGTAGAGGTTAAACCTTCGACGTTCTTGACTTTCGCAGAGACAGAAAGAGTTTACATAATCCGAAAGACCGACCTTCTATAAACCTCGGCATAGATAGTTAATAATCTTCTCTGTCGTTGTCGTTGTTTTTCATTTTACTGATCGATGGCTGACATTTCGGCGACGTCTTCCTCAGAGCCTGGACGTATTTTATATTAGAATATTTTTATTATTCGGTGGAAAAAAAAGGTTAAATTGTTAATGAAGATCAAACTTTCAAGTAGACGCCATATTGAACAGAAAGGCCACTCACCGTTAAGTTTACATAATCTTTCGACGAAATATCTTTGGTGAAATTCTAGCTTCGTGAGTCTTGTCGTGATAACATAAGAAAATTTGCATGTCATAAGACGAAATCTGGAGGTCCTAAAGATATTTAATATTGTGTGACTTACTACCAGGGTATAGATAGTTGCTTAAATTATTAATATTATTGCAGCTGTTATTATTATTGTTATTATTATCATCAATACCATTAGTGTAAATGTTATCATTACTACCATTACTTCCGATTTTTTTCTACGATCCGTCCTTCACATCTAGTATACGTTTCGGTGCCAAACAATTCTCACATTCGATTTGTTTCTTCCTCGGACCTATCACCTACGAAGATCTTACAAATTTAGCGAGTACCTTGGGCTATTTTCGTGGTGCACCTCCGATAACAGTCGGACAGAGTCCTTATCTAGGACGGGTCCACTCCTTGGTTGACGAGCGCTGATAGGATTCGTTTCGACATAGGGTCGGATAGGGTTCGACACTGTCAAACGCTTTCTAATAGTCGGCAGAGGTGAGGACTAGAGGCAAGTGGTATTCCCTACAAACTTCGATGACTCTGGGCACGGTTTGGATGTGGTCCATGCAGCAAAATTCCTTTCGAAATCCTGCTTGCTCGACTGGTTGCGCCTCATCCAACGTCTTTGATATGTGCGAGAGGATAAACTTCGTGAAGAGCTTGTAGAGTACACTTAACAAGCATATGGGACGATAGTTACGAAGATCCCTTCGGTCTGTTTCTTGGGTAGGATAACCGTGCGCGACGTTCCCTACTGGTTTGGGATTTGTTCCTTTTTTTGGCAGCCTGTCATATGATTTGAGAAAAGTACATGTAAATTGTGGCCTTCAGCTCTAAGGAAATCAGCAGTGATATTATCGGGTCCTGGAGCTGCGCCTCTTTCCATACTTTCTATCTCAACCCGAACCTCCAACGGAAGAATTCCAAGTGGTTTTTCTCCAGTGCGGGTATTAAGGTCCGGGACGGAGGTAGGGGAACGGAAAATGTTGGTGTAGAACGTTTTCGCTATTAATTCCACATGATGCCGGAAAGTTTTAACGATCCCATCTTCACCATGCGGGTCCTTTGTTTCGCCTGTCTCTCAGCTATTTCTATCGATCTTTGCCACAGCAATCACCCGTCAGCGGGATTGATCTGGGGCGCCCAAATCGGCATAGAACCCAGTTAAGCTGCGGCTGTAGTTGAAATCGCAATGTTATACCTTTTTATTTTCTGCCTACTATAACTACAGCCGCAGCTTAACTGGGTTCTATGCCGATTTGGGCGCCCCAGATCAATCCCGCTGACGGGTGATTGCTGTGGCAAAGATCGATAGAAATAGCTGAGAGACAGGCGAAACAAAGGACCCGCATGGTGTGGTGGTGAACGCGTTACTCCCCGGAAAGGACAATAGCGCGTTCGTTCCCCACCAAAGTTACCTGCGGTCCAGAGTTTTGCAAATATCT